TAAAAAGCAAAAGAAAATGATAAAAACTTCAAAAATTAAAATCCTTCCAGATGTAGTTATGTTACTACATGTGCTAGTTAAGAAAAATTAAAAACTTAAATTTGGACTTGTTTTGCAAAAAGTGTAGGGAAAATGTAAAATGGCTATAACTTTTGCATACGATGTCAGAAAAAACGTATAATATATCAAAATGTTCAGCACGAAAATCCGCATCCGCTTTTGACCGCATATGGCCTGTTTGCAAATTTTTAGAATCCTCAAATTCTAGAAGGAAAAAAAGTTATACTCAAATTTAAGTTTTTTTTTTGAATTTTGGTCAAATCTGATCAAACTACTTATTCTTGAAGTATTAGTGTTACTAAATAATTATTCAAGAATATTAGTGTTACTAAATAATTATTTTAGTTTTTTGGAATTTTGGTCAAATCTGGTCAAAATGTGATCAAACTGTGGTCAAACTGTGGTCAAACAATGGTCAAACTACTTATTCAAGAAATATTAGCGTTACTAAATAATTATTGTTTTTTAGAACAATAGTTTTAAACTCAAACAGTGAAATGTGTGACTTCATGCTCAAGCTAAACTCCTGAGGTTTAATAGGATTGACATCTTACTATTGTCAGGAAAACAACAAGTGCAGACTTGGAAACAAGGGAGAATAGAACCCGGAAATTAAGCGTGCTCAGGCTGGAGTAGTGAGAGGATGGGTGACCGTCCGAAAAGTTAGATGATTTGGAATGATGAGGGATGATTAGAGATTAGAGATTAAATTGAGCAGCAATGAGGGGTGATTAGAGATTAGAGATTAAATTGAGCAGCGATGAGAAATGATTAGAGATTAAAGGTTAAACTAATTCAGAAATTTGAAAATTCGGGAAAAAAATTAGAAAAAAATCAAATTTTTTCCAAAGCACGGGTTAGTAGTAGCGCGGGTTTTTACCCATGCTACTACTAACGGACGTATCAGTAGCGCGGGCACCCACGCTACTAATATACCTAAAACTCGCGCTACTGCTAGGCTTTTCCCTAGTAATGCTTCTCCGCCCGACCACGTCCGCTTTGCCGCCGTGTGCAAGTCATGGCGAGATGTCTTATCGTGGAAACCGCCGCAGCCAGCTCTCCCGTGGCTGATCCTCTCACCATACGAGGATGGCACGGCAAAGCGCGTGTTCTGCCCGGTGGATGGCACGGTGTTACGCGTTCCTCTCCCGGCCAAAGCGATCGGCAAGCAGTTAGTCGGATCCCATGTTGGTAGCTGGATCATCGTTGCGTCCACCGATAATGTTGCTACCTCGCTGGTGATCGTGAACCTCTTTTCTGGCATCGAGGTGCCACTTTCCGCCAAGCAACAAAGTATCTTAGATGAACCTGGACACACGACCTCAGACATCAGGAAGATCATCTTCTCAGAGGACCCCACCTCGAATCGCTGCATCCTTGCTGCCATCTTTACAAACAGGACCACGAACGGGGTGTGCAGTGTTGGACGCCGAAACCGTGGGTGGTCGATGTCAATACAGCATGTCTGCTTCTCGGACATTGCCTTCTGCCATGGTAAGCTCTATGGCATAAACAACAATAACAGCTTATTCAAGTTCAACCTTCGCATGACTAAAAATGGTGCATCGGTGGTCACCGCCACATACCCTCTGCGCATCCAAGAACCTAGCGGCACATATTCGTGGGGGCACCCCAGGATCAACTACATTTTCAAGCACCATGACAAGCTATTTCTGGCACAAAGGACCAAGTGGTCACAGGGGGGTGAGCTTTTCTTCAAGGTGTTTGAGCTCATCAAAATTCACAATGACAAGACAACCAAATATGACTACAAGTGGGCAGAAGTGATGTCATTGGACGACCATGCCTTGTTTTTGAGTGTGCCCTACTCCAGATTTGTGCACGTGCCAACAGGCAGTCATTACAATGTGGAGAGAAACCGCATCTACTACAGCCATCCCCACGCAATCCACATCGGGGATGTCATGCAACTGAAAATTTGTGCCAACAATGGCAACCATATGTATTGCACGGAAGACCGCAAAATCAGTGGTGTGGATAGGATCACGTCGTTTAGATACTCCATGGCCAATGGTCGTCATACTCTCATGTGGGTCATCCCTCCGAACTTCTAGGCACTTTGCAATATGTATTCTGAGCTATATTATACTTAGTTGCCTGATTTTTTTTAAATCTCAATTACTTTTACTCCAGATGTTGGATACGAAACTTGTGTTGTGGCAGTTTTGTTTTCCCTAGCGGTACCTTTCGACCAACAGAAGAATCGAGAGATCAATTGTCAACATTCCTGTATTAATTCTCGCCTTCTCAGGCGTTGTGTGCAATGGACTGGCTGGTAGCCTGGTAGGCTTTGTATATAGCTGCAGGCATTTATTAGCATGAGAATTCATAATGCCAGTAGAAATTAATTTGCATGCTAAATACAATGTTATGTACCTATTTTCAACATTGACTACGCACATGAGCATGGTCCCACCATATGTGCAAAAAATTTCACTCATTCCAGCTATATTTTTCCTTGGTAGTCGCAACATGTACAAGTATATGTGATAATAGGCCCTTTCGTAATAGGAACCTTTTGCAACATGTAGAAGTTTCACTCATTCTAGTTATATTTTTCCTTCGTAATAGGAACCGTTTGCAAACGAAATCATTCCATTTGCCCGCCTATAATTGTGCTCTTTGCAAAGGAAAATATTCTATTTTCCCTGCTCCATCGTTTCAACTGTCCACTTAATTGCCTCGCAATGCTAGAATCCTATGATAGCGCAGAAGAAGAGAGGCATCTATTCCTTTGATGAAATCATGTTAGCTTTTGATATGCTGCCAGCGAAAATAGCACTGGATTCTGATCATGGGACGCAAGAATATTTGCATCAGTTCAAATGATGAATTGAGACAGAAGCCGATGGATCCTATGTCTATCGATATATTCAAGTAAAGAGAAATGATAAGATCTTCAAGAATGGGATTTGGGACGCTAGAAGGAAGCCATGCACCTCGCCGCCCCTTCCAAGCACCAAGACCACTCCCCTGACATCAACACCCTCATGGTTGCACTCTCCGACACGCCCGACGCCTGCAACCACGCGGCCCCACGCATGACCAACTAGCAGCCGACTCCCCCAGGCCGTAGGAGATGTGGTGTGGCGGCGCCGCTTGAGCCCGGTGCTAGGGAAAAGGTGAGGAGACTTTCTCCCGCTGACAGGTGGGACCCACTCCTGCCGAAATCATACTGGACAGATTTCTGTAGTAGCTAAAACCAGACAAAAAAACGCAAAAAATAAAATAGCCTACGTGGCACGTGAGTCACCATCAAATTGGGGGAAAATGTGGGACATGGGGCACATGTGGTAGAATGTGGCACAAAGTCAATCAATGGGGGTACAAATTGAGAATTTTCTCAAAAACGGGTAAAATCTGTCAATTTGATGAAACATGGGGTAAAATATGAAGTTAACTCACGGGGATGCTACCTTGACCATTTTTAGCCAATTTTTTCGAACCTGATTTTTAGCCTATTTACGTGGATGATGTCCAACTAATGTACACGCCTGTAAAGCAAATGAGATTGATTAAACAAATGGCCGTCCACGAGCTCGGCACTAGCCTCTTGTTTAATCATCCCACGCTGTAGACAAGCTCCAGCGCGAGTGGATTTTTCCTGCTCCACGCGCATCTCCTCCACACCAGTCCACGTGCGCCAGCCTATCGCGTCACCGTCGCTGAGCTCCAAGATCCATCCATGGCGGACGCCATGACGCTCTCCTACCTGCCCCTCTCGCTTGCCACGGTCCTCTTCGTCCTCGTCCTGCTCGGGAACCTCAGGAAGCGCCGGCGTGAGCGCGGACTCCGGCTGCCGCCGAGCCCGCCGTCCCTGCCGGTCATCGGCCACCTGCACCTCTTCAAGAAGCCGCTCCACCGCGCGCTGGCCAACATCGCCGCGGCGCACGGGCCGGTGCTGCTCCTCCGCTTCGGCTCTCGCCGCGTGCTCCACGTCGCCGACCCGGCCGCCAACGAGGAGTGCTTCACAGCGCACGACGTGGTCTTCGCCAACCGGCCCCGGCTCCCCTCCGCGCGCCACCTCTCCAACGGCTACACCACGCTGGGGTCCTCCAGCTACGGCCCCAACTGGCGCAACCTCCGCCGCATCGCCACCGTCGAGGTGCTCTCCGCGGGCAGCCTCCTCCGCTCCGCGGCCGTCCGCGGCGACGAGGTGCGCCTCGCTGCACGCCGCCTCTTCCTCGAGGCCGCCGCCGCCGGGGCGTCGGAGCCGAGGCCCGCGCGCGCCGACGTGAAGGCGCGGGCGTTCGAGCTGGCGCTGAACGTGGTGGCGCGGATGATCGCCGGGAAGCGGTACTACGGCGGCGAGGGAGACGTGCCGGAGTCTGAGGCGGAGGAGGCCGCCAGGTTCCGGGAGATGGTGCGCGAGTACTTCGCGATGCATGGCGCGTCCAACCTGCAGGACTTCCTGCCTGTGCTCGGCGTGCTGGACATCGGCGGCGCCAGGAGGCGGGCGGTGCGGCTGGCCCGGAAGCGCAACGAGTGGGCGCAGCGGCTCATCGACGAGCACCGCGCCGCCTTCGACGATGGCGAGGGGAAGAGCCGCCGCGGCAGGACGATGGTCGGCGACCTGCTGGAGATGCAGGCGGCCGATCCGGAGGCGTACAGCGACAAGGTCATCAGAGCGCTCTGCCTGGTGAGTAGAACAAACTCTCCATCAGCATTTATTTAGGCTGCATTTCATTAACGAGCAAAGCATTCGTCATTCGTCAAGCTATTTTTTCCGGACGCGGAGTTTTGGCTCCCGAGCTCATCTGCACCCACGCTCAGAAAATAAAATCAAAACAAATACTAAAAAAGTTTAAGAAAAAATCAAATTTTTTTGGGTGGTAGATAATTTGACGCATGAGGTGCGCTCCAAAATTCAACTTATTTGAGCATCTGAGCAGCTCTCTGGCAAAAAAGACAAAATCAAGGTCTGTAAAAATATTTACTGTTCACGCACTGTTTTGACCCGATTTATCTTTTTTGCCGAGAGCTACTCAGAGTCCAAATAAGTTGAAATTTGGAGCGGACCTCATGCGACAAATTATCTATCACACAGAAAAAAGTTGGAATTTTTTGAATTTTTCTACTCCCTCCGTTCCTAAATATTTGTTTTTCTAGACATTTCAAATGACTACTATATACAGATGTATGTAGACATATTTTAGAGTATAGATTCACTCATTTTGCTCCGTATGTAGTCACTTGTTGAAATGCCTAGAAAGACAAGTATTTAGGAACGGAGGGAGTAGTATTTATTTTGATTTTTTTTCTAAGCGGGAGCAGATGAGCCTGGGCACCAAAGTGGATATCCGATTTTTTCCTTGCTTTTTATAAAATAAAGAAACTTAAGAAACAAACAAACTATTTTCTCCGATCTAAGTACTTCCTTCATCCCAAAATTCTTGTATTATATTAGTCTAGATATGAATGTATCTAATACTAAAACTTGACTTGATACATCCGTCTTATATTAGTCTAGATATGAATGTATCTAATACTAAAACTTTTTTTTGCGGAATCTAATACTAAAACTTGACTTGATACATCCGTATTCGGACAAATCTAAAACAAGAATTTTAGGACGGAGAGAGTAGCTGTTAAAATTAGTGTTGAGAATCGTGATGGAATCTTTGAGAGGCAGTCCAGTCCACTGACTTGGTTGGCTATTTAATTTTTTTTTAAAACGCAGACGCCAGATGCGTCCGGCTTTAAATTAATAAAGCCACAAACGGTAGAGTAGCAACACCACAACCAACGATACTACAAGGACACAGGCCATCCCGGCCAGCACAGCGGATCGACATAACAAAGTTCAGGCCCGACTTAACAAACTACTACCGCAATACAGGGCAGCGCCCGTACAAAGCACGCAGGCTCGTCAAGCGACAAAAGGGACCATGCATGCGCGCCATGGTCAACGCTTCCTAACCAGCACATAAACTTGCATCAGACGAAGTTGGGCGGTCTGTAGCATCTCAGCATCCCTGCGCTTCCCCAACGGACTCCACTGTTGCAAGAGAAGATTGCATTTGAAAATGATGTTAGCCGGATGCGAAGGAAAGGTTCAGGTTCCTTCAATGATGAATTTGTTCCTAATTAGCCACAACGCCCAGAGGAGAGCCCCAACACAACTCCACATAACCCTTTTTGGGCGACCGTGGATCGAGCCAAGGAGTTGGGACAGCTCCGCAGCCGATCTAGGGTCCCATTGGACACCCGCCGCCTCCCTGACCGCGCTCCATGCAAAACGAGCCAGAGAGCATGTGAAGAACACATGTGTGGCATCCTCGGGAGCCCCACACAGCGCACAAGGGCCCGTGGCCGGGCCGTTACGTTTGGCCACATTAATGGAGGTGGGCAGCTTATCGCGGAATAATTGGCACATGAAAAGCTTGATTTTTAGGGGCAGCCGCGCTTTCCACAGGCCGGTGCTCGCGTGTTGCACCGACCCTCGACACAACTTGCGCTACAAGGAATTGATCGAGAATTTCCCGGAGTTGGTAAGCGCCCAACTTACCGCGTCCGGTTCCCCTGACAGGGTGGTCGGCCCGATGAGTTGCATCATACCCGCAAGGCTAGCCTGCTCTAGCCCCGTCAACTCACGTTTGAAGTTAATCGCCGGCGGGGACGGCCCGAGTGCCGCCGCCACCGTGATCTCTGGCTCGACAGCAATGTCGAAAAGCTCCCGAAATTCTGCCCAAAGGGGTCGGGCCCCGACCCAATGGTCCGTCCAGAAACGGGCAGAACGTCCATTCCCGATGGCAAACTTTGCCCCCATGGCAAATGCCGGTTTGATCGCCTGCAGGTCGTTCCAGAAGGGGGATCCCCTCGCCCTCCCTTCGAAAAAATTGCCCTCAGGAAAGTACTTGGCCTTGAGGAGATCGACCCACAAGCCCGTAGCCTCCTGGGCAAGTTTCCAGATCCATTTACACATCAAGGCTATGTTAATGAGTCTGAAATTGGTGATCCCAAGGCCTCCCAAGGCCTTGGGTCGACACACCCACGCCCATTTCACCATATGGTATTTACGATTTGGGTCGGTTCCTTCCCAAAAGAACTTAGCGCGGGGTGTATCAAACTTCGCATGAACCCCTTCCGTGAGCAAGAAAAGGCCCATGGCAAACATAGGCAAGGAGGAGAGGCTGGAATTCGTGAGAATTAGCCTAGCAGCCTTGGAAAGGAATTTCCCTCTCCAGGGGCACACCCTCCCACGAACCTTCCCACACAAAGGATCCCAATCCTCTATAGTGGGTCTTTTAGTGTCAATAGGCAGGCCGAGGTACGTAAACGGAAACTTGCCTACTTTGCAATTAAACAGATCCGCTATACGCCTTCCCTCCTCCGACTCCACCCCCATCGCGATCAGCTCACATTTGTGAAAGTTGATCTTAAGGCCCGACATAAGTTCAAAACTAATCAGGATCGCCTTGACCGAAGCGATGATGTGCATGTCCGGGCGGAACATCAGCAACGTGTCGTCCGCGTACTGCAGATGCGACACTCCCCCAGGAATGAGATGGCCAACCAAACCCTGGATATGGCCAGCCGCCATAGCTCTTGTCAGCATCGCAGACAGCGCGTCAACTACGAAGTTGAAGAGCAACGGAGACATGGGATCTCCCTGCCTAAGCCCGCGTTTGTTCCTGAAGAAATGCCCTATTTCTCCATTCATCGAAACAGCGGTTTGGCCCCCCGAGACCAATTGCATTACCCGGTGGACCCACACCGCGGAGAAACCTCGACCCAAAAGGACCTGGCGCAGAAACTCCCAGTTAACCCGGTCATACGCCTTCTCGAAGTCTAGTTTCAGAAGAACCGCCGGTTCCTTTGTACGCTTTAGCTCATGCACATCTCCTGGAGAGCAAGAGGACCCTCGAGGATGTTGCGCCCGCGCATGAACACAGATTGGTTGCGGTTGATCGAACGTTGGGCAATCGGGCCTAATCGCGTCGCGCTAGCTTTGGCACAAATCTTAAAAGGAACATTTATGAGCGCTATAGGGCAGAACTGTCTAATGTTGTCGGCCCCCTGCACCTTCGGAATGAGCGAGAGGACACCAAAATTAAGGCGAGCGATGTCAACCGTCCCACGCATAAAGCCCTTGCAAATCTCTATTTAATTAGGTGGCTCAGGAGCTTCATTTGGTCGTTCATCCATCCTAATCACATCCTTATCGAATATTGTCAACTAGTCTTCCCCTCCTCATCTTCAGCACCCCAGGAAAAAAAAACAATTTGCCAGCCGTTGTCACCCAAATTTCCTTTATGCCGTTGGAAAACGACTACTCCCTCCGTTCCTAAATACAAGTCTTTTTAGAGATTTCAATATGTACTACGAATGTGTATAAACTTACTTTAGAGTGTAGATTCACTCATTTTGCTCCGTATATAGTTCATATTGAAATCTCTATAAAGACTTATATTTAGGACTACTTACAAAATACTCCAAAAATACATATCTTATGTCAGACTTTTATGTGTGCATTATAATGAAGCAATTTTCAAATACTTTGCAACAGATGCAGTATTATTTAGCCCATGTGTTTGCTAGTGATTATTTTTGTGTAATACATGTAGTTAGCTTCAGTGCATGGCATGTACTCTCTCCGTCCGAAAATACTTGTCATCAAAATGAATAAAAAAATATGTACCTAGTACTAAAATACGTCTAGATACATCTCCTTTTATCCATTTCAATGACAAGTATTTTCGGACGGAGGGAGTAGGTAACAACCAGTCTACCAGATTATCCATTTAAGGTTTCCCAATTTGCCTGCTACACTATGAACTGAACATCATAGGTCTATAATTAATTTATGAACTGAACTATTTTCACCAGCTTCTTACGATTTCCCACGAATTCTATTGACTGCTCAGAGCACATTAATTAATCACATTATCCAGCTACATTTTATCTTCATTTTTCTTTTGCTAAGTATCTTCATCATCATCAACAGCTCATCATGTCAATCTTTGCTGCAACAGAGCATCCTTCAAACCGGCACGGACACCTCGTCGAGCACCATCGAATGGAGCATGGCGGAGCTGCTCAACCACCCGGACGCCATGGCAAAGGCGAGGGTGGAGCTCGACGAGGTCGTCGGCACGGGGCGCCTCCTGGAGGAAGCCGACCTTTCCAGCCTGCCCTACCTCCAGTGCATCATCAAGGAGACCCTCCGGCTGCACCCAATCGCCCCGCTCCTCGCCCCACACGAGTCCTCCGCCGCCTGCTCCGTCGCAGGCTACGACATCCCGGCGGGAACCATGCTCCTTGTCAACGTGCACATGATGCACAGGGATGCGCTCATGTGGGATGAGCCGACAAGGTTCTCGCCAGAGAGGTTTGAAGGCGGGAGGGGCGAGGGAAAGTGGATGCTGCCATTCGGAATGGGGAGGAGAGGGTGCCCTGGCGAGGCGCTAGGCATGAACATGGTCGGGCTCGCTGTCGGCACGCTGGTGCAGTGCTTTGAGTGGAGGAGGGTCGGCGAGGAGGTGATTGACATGGCTGAAGGGTCAGGGCTGACCATGCCCATGGCTGTACCTTTGGAGGCTTTGTACTGGCCTCGTGCAGAGATGACACCGGTGCTAAGGGCACTCTAGGAAAGGAACACGGGCTGTTCATTTCTGAGAGAATTCACTAATAAAAGCGCAATTTTGGGAGGCAGGAGAATCAGGAAGTTACCTTTGGTATCATCAACTGCTCTTAATCACAAGCAGACCAAGTAGAATGTATACTCCAGCACGAGTGGTTCTTAGTTCATACCAGATCACAAGATGATCATGTAGAATGGATGTTCCAGCGTCAGTAATTCTTAGTTCGTACCAGATCCAAAACCCTGTTACATAGGAAGAACCAGAGTTAGGGAGAAGCCACTATGAAAAAATTTAGACGTGCATGAAGAAAAAATTACGGAAACTAGGAGTGGAGACAGTAGACTAATAATGCATCTCAAGCACAAAGAAAATCAACTGGAGCTCCTAAACATGATATACAAGAAATAAAGTTGGGG